CCGGGGCTACCAGCCATGAGCCTGGAGCCCCCCAAGCTGGAGGTCAAATCGGCCACCAGGGTGAGCGGGGGTCCCGCCACCCCCCGCAAGGGACCCCCCAAGTTCAAGCAGAGGCAGACGAGGCAGTTCAAGAGCAAGCCCCCCAAAAAGGGGGTGCAGGGGTGAGTGGGGAACAGCTCTGGGATGGGAGGGGCCCTGCATGGGGTCAGGCCAGACAATTCCTCTTTCCTTGCAGGTTTGGTGACGACATCCCCGGCATGGAGGGGTTGGGAACAGGTATGGGAATGCCACCCCTTTGGCAGTGGGGGGACAGGGCCTGGGGGGGTCACACCACCACAAGCTCTGTCCTCTCTCTCCTCAGACATCACTGTCATCTGTCCCTGGGAAGCCTTCAGCCACCTGGAGCTGCATGAGCTGGCTCAGTATGGAATCATTTAGGATTTGGGCAGGCTCACCAGCCCTGTAGTGCTGTGTAGATCAAGGCCCCCCTACCCCTGCTGGGGAAGGGGGGCTCAGCTTGGAAAAATGCTAATTAAACCCTAACGAACACAGGAGTCAGTGTTGTGGGCTGGGGGGGAGGGAGAGCAGCTCCCCAGGGCCTGGGGTGGAGTGGGCAGGACAGAGATGGGGTCAGGATGCTGACAAGGTTTATTTGGGGCTGGACCAGCACCTCAGACATCCCCAAAGCTGCACACCCTCAGCAGCAGCACCAATGGCAACACAGAAAAGACACAGACAGGTTCAGGATTCTGACACTGTTTATTTAGGCCCAAACCAGGCAATCCTCACTGCCACACCCTCCCAGCAATGATATCCCGGAACACCCTCAGGGCCATGAGCACTCCCATGGCCTCCACCAGCAGCAGGGCCCCAGGGCCTGGGGTGGGATGGGCAGGACACAGACAGGTTCAGCATTTTTGACAAGGTTTATTTAGGCCCAAACCACCCCCCTGTATATCCCAATCCCCTCACTGCCACACCCTCCCAGCCGTGACATCCCTGAGCACCCTCAGGGCCAGCAGTGCTCCCACAGCCTCCACCAGCAGCAGGGTGACGGC